AATGCCGCGGCCACCTGAAGTCTAGCCTCATTTGCATTATGAAACAAACAACGAAGACAGTGGCAAGGATCTTTCAGGCCAGGGTCCCTTCACATGCCCTACAAGCCTTACAGCTACAGTCTAGTCACCGTCTAGTTACTAATTATTTGCTAGTGACTCTCGACTCACTCTTGACTCTTGACATTCAAAGATTTCCTAGGATCATAAGACCCTGACCCGAACTAGTACTCCATGAAACAATTTTAAATCTTATCTTATCTCAGCAAATCTTGCAAAAAGAAAAACAATTCAGAACTCGGCCCAAACTAAATCAAAAGTTATGGCAGTACCAGGGAACATCCACAGTGGTTGATGAGTTTGGATTGCCAGAACTGCTGGACCCTGTGTCATCCAAGTTCGTCCGTCTTTTGGTTGGATTTCATTTTCAGCACGGACTGCCTACATCGCCTTGCATTTCTAAGTTTCTGCTGCAGTACTCCATTATTGCGTCTCACTTTCAGTGGGTTGGGAAGCACAACGAACGTCCAACGGGTCGAAGGTGTCATCACATGTCATCACCATCATCAGCTCCAACCATTGTGCTGATGAGGGCCGATGAGCGGCCAATGATGGTTTTGAAAATTTTGAGTTAAGATGCTAGCTGCTAGCTGGTAGGCACTGCTCACTGCTCGGCTCTGTCACAGGTTCTATCATATCATTCGAGAATCATCTGTTTTGAAAATCGTGATTGGTCAAAATGCCAAAGTTGATTGCCATGTGCAAACTGCAAACTGCAATAATGTATGTGGTTTGAGTTTGAACCATGCCAGGCCAGACAACTTGTGGCAGCATAGAGGGTAGCTGGACTGTGTCAACATGGTCAGTTTTCACATGTTTTTACGAAAATGATTGCAAGAATGCATGAATGGAAACCGGATGTGACTGGTGTCTAAAAGGACTTGATTGGTTGATTTGATTGATTGATTGATTGACTGATTGATTGCATACATCCGAATCTGAATCTATCTATCTATCTATCTATCTCTCTCTCTCTGTCTGTCTATCTATCTATCTATCTATCTATCTCTCTATCTATCTCTTCAAGGTCTGCCTTCTGATACCATTGGACCCATAGGATTTTGTCACCACAGTTTGGGCATGTGGTGTTGAATTAACTGCCTGTCCTGACCCCCTACCCTCTTGACCCATGTATCCCCAACAGCAAAGATGATAGGATATGTAAAAATTAACTTTGGGGGTGAAAATTGTGTGTTTATTTTTCGGTCGGTCCAGTCTAGACTAGACTCTACTCTAGTCACTAGTCACTAGTCTATGGAACCGTCCCAGAGCAGACGCATCACCAGATTCTCCAGAACCACCATGCCAACACCGGAACTCCAATCACATGGGAGTTGGCTGCTTTCAAATCAAAATTTACACAGCGCCATGAATAACCAGATCGAAACGCCGATGCTGCATGAAAACACATTGGGCCCCAAACAGTGTTGCAAGGAACATGAAGAGGACTTACCAGTACAGGCAGGTTACATTCTGCAAGTTCATTCCCTTTGCAAAGATCTCTGTAGAAGATTGTGTGTGCAAGATCTCCTTGCCAGGTTCTCTGTGGAAGCTGCTGGCTATCTGCACAAGGTGCCTATAAGAAATCTCCATAGAAGACCTCTGTAAATATCTCGGAAGTAAGATCTCTGTTAAAGTTCAAGTTCAAGCTCTCTAAAGATATCTCTGAAAAAGATCCCTGTTCTCTTCACCCAGTCTTTGGACAAGATCCCTTCAATAGATCTCTGAGCAAGATCTCTGCATACAAAGATCTTGCTAAGAATGTAAAGATTTCATTTGTACCGCATATCATAGATCTGTCTCTATCATCTATCATCAAAAATATTGTGGCAAGATACCCCCTTTGTGAAGGTCTCTGTAGAAGATTGCGAGCAAGATCTCCTTGACAAGTTCTCTGTGGAAGCTGCTGTGCCAAGTCCCTTTGAAGTAAGACACATGTTAAAGTTCAAGCTCTCTAAAGATATCTCTGAAAAAGATCCCTGTTCTCTTCACCCAGTCTTTGGACAAGATCCCTTCAATAGATCTCTGAGCAAGATCTCTGCATACAAAGATCTTGCTAAGAATGTAAAGATTTCATTTGTACCGCATATCATAGATCTGTCTCTATCATCTATCATCAAAAATATTGTGGCAAGATACCCCCTTTGTGAAGGTCTCTGTAGAAGATTGCGAGCAAGATCTCCTTGACAAGTTCTCTGTGGAAGCTGCTGTGCCAAGTCCCTTTGAAGTAAGACACCTGTTAAAGTTCAAGCTCTCTAAAGAGATCTCTGAAAAAGATCTCTGTTCTCTTCACCCAGTCTTTGGACAAGATCCCTTCAATAGATCTCTGAGCAAGATCTCTGCATACAAAGATCTTGCTAAGAATGTAAAGATTTCATTTGTACCGCATATCATAGATCTATCTCTATCATCTATCATCAAAAAAATTGTGGCAAGATACCCCCTTTGTGAAGGTCTCTGTAGAAGATTGCGAGCAAGATCTCCTTGACAAGTTCTCTGTGGAAGCTGCTGTGCCAAGTCCCTTTGAAGTAAGATCTCTGTTAAAGTTCAAGCTCTCTAAAGAGATCTCTGAAAAAGATCTCTGTTCTCTTCACCCAGTCTTTGGACAAGGTCCCTTCAATAGATCTCTGAGCAAGATCTCTGCATACAAAGATCTTGCTAAGAATGTAACGATTTCATTTGTACCGCATATCATAGATCTACCTCTATCATCTATCATCAAAAATATTGTGGCAAGATACCCCCTTTGAAGGTCTCTGTAGAAGATTGCGAGCAAGATCTCCTTGACAGGTTCTCTGTGGAAGCTGCTGTGCCAAGTTCCTTTGTAGGTTGGCTATCTTCACAAAGTGTCTACAAGAAATCTCCAGGGAAGATCTTTGTAAGAGATCTCAAAGTAAGATCTCTGCTCAATCCCTCTAAAAGATCTCTGGACAAGATATAATGTATTTGTTCTCTTCACCAGGTCTCTGTACAAGATCTCTATAGGGCATCTCTGAGAAAGATCCCTGTAAGAGACTTTCTTGCAATATCTCTCTATTTATAGCCAGAACCAAGCATTTTTATATAGATGTTTTGAGAAATCGAAATGAACATACAAAAATAATATATGTTTAAAAACACTAAAAAACATGTTTTTTTCAACCTTTTCTTATTTTTCATCAAACCCTGAATAATATACATATATATATATATTATGTTTTTCAACATTTTTCAGATCATTCAAAAAAGGAAAACATTAAGAATATGTGGGTTCAATTGTTTTTCCAACATCTATAGAGAGACACCGCCACAGGCCGAAACTGGCCATCCTAAAACTTAACTTATAAATTCCGCAAGTTCAAGTTAACTTGCGGGCCCCACCTTGTACGCAGTGCTGCACCTGTCACGCAAAATCATCTTCCCAAAACTGAAGATCTGATGCTCCAAAATGCAACCCCTCTCAGGAAATCAGCGCCCGGACCTCCTAACAGCTCTGATGAACATGTCTCTTGTACTGCCCCTGCCACGGAAAATGCATCTTGCCAGATCCTCTTCAAATGTCCCGCGCCTGCCATCGTTTTTGGAACTGCTACAAAACCCTGACGTTTTGCTCCCTTTTGACAATATCCACAATCCCTTGCGCCTGCCACGCGAAAGCACATCTGAACCTCCAAAAGTGGTCCGAACCCCTAATGTTTTTTTAATAAAATGCTGACTTCGAAATGTGCTTCGCGCCACAACGGCGAGCACTTTTTCGACATCTCAACTTCCAAAAGTGGTCTGAGAATGGTGTGTTTTGTTCATTTTGACTTGGAAATGTGCTTCGCGCCACAACGGCGTGCACTTTTTCGACATCGCAACTTCCAAAAGTGCTTTGTTCATTTTGATTTCAAAATGTGCTTCGCGTCACAACGGCGTGCAATTTTTCATTTCTCATCTGGCCAGATGGCTCCGCACCCGCCGCTTTAGCGAGCCTTCTTTTCGACCCTCCGGAGCCTCAAATCAATGGAAAAACACAGTGTTTTGCGACTTTCCTACCTTTTCGCTCAAACTGAAGATCTGATGCTCCAAAATGCAACCCCTCTCAGGAAATCAGCGCCCGGACCTCCTAACAGCTCTGATGAACATGTCTCTTGTACTGCCCCTGCCACGCGAAATGCATCTTGCCAGATCCTCTGCATATGTCCCACGCCTTCCATCGTTTTTGAAACTGCTACAAAACCGTCACGTTTCGCTCACTTTTGACAAGGTGCACAATCCCTTGCGCCTGCCACGTGAAACGACATCTGAACGTCCAAAAGTGCTCCGTATACCCCTCAGTCTTTTGCACTTTTGACTTCGACATGTGCTTCGCGCCACAGCAGCATGCACTTTTTCGGCATCTCGGCTTCCGAAAGGGGGCTGAACGCAGTGTGTTTGACTTGGAAATGTGCTTCGCGTCATAACGGCGTGCACTTTTTTTGACATCTCAACTTCAAAAGGTTCTCCGAACCTGATGTGTTTTCTGCATTTTGACTTGGAAATGCGCTCCGCGCCACAACGGCTCGACATCGCAACTTCTAAAAGTGCTCCGCAGCTGAGGTGTTTTGTACATTTTGACTTGGCAAGGCGCTTCGCGCCACAACGGCGTGCAACTTTTCATCTCTCATCTGACCACATGGCTCCGCACCCGCCGCTTTAGCGAGCCTACTTTTCGACCCTCCGGAGCCACAAATCATTGAAAAATCACAGTGTTTAGCGACTTTCCTACCTTTTCGCGCACCTGGATCTTCTTTCTTCTGAGGCTTTCTCTCTTTTTTTGATCTTCTTTCTTCTTCTCTTCTCTTCTCTGACTCTTCCCATCTCTGCTTTTCATCTGTCCATATTGTCGGTAATTTGACTTCTAAACTTCCTTCGAATACTTGATAATACGTGATGCTGGGATATACTGTGTACGTACAATCAAGTCAACAATGTCATCCAAGGCCTCCACGATTTCTGCATCGTGATGGTGAGCCCAACCCTCAGCTCAAATGAATCCCTATCTGCAACAACAACGACTGAAACAGAATCCTTGGTTGCTAAAAATGGTTCAAGCACTGCCAACTCCCAACATCTCCCAATTCCATAAACTACCACAATATGAAGTCAACAAGACACATAGTTGCCACACGTTTCCACGTTGCACCGATCCCTTCAGTTGCTTGTTGCGTTCTTCCTCTGACTCTTGCAGTGGCAATTCCTCTGCGAGGTTGTGGAAATGGAAGCGCAGATCTCTGCAGGTTTTCGTGAATTTTCAACCATGACTTTCTCACTCGAGAATCCTCAAGGGATGACTTTTAGACAGCAGTTTGATACAAGAAAAAGCGGAAGAAGTGAAAGACCTATTGTCCGGGCGGGGCGTTTTCTTCAGCTTGAGTTTGAATGCTTGTCACGAGTCACAACCGATAATCATTTTCCTACCTGGTGGGAAATGTGAACGATTATTTGAGATCCCATTGGTGGCTGCGGAGTCCAGAGATGTCAAGACCCCAATGTTACAATGTCGAAATACTGGGTAGCCAAGCAAAAATGGATGATGTTTGGGCAAAGCCCCGCACAAAGCCACCAGAACCAATTGTTTAAATAATCATAGATGGCACATGAAGGCACAGCAATCTCGCTTTGTTGCGTGACGTTGCACTTGGAAAAAGACGGCCGGCCACGGCAGCAGCTTGGCGATGGACGGATTGTGCAGCAATGTTTGAATCTCAAGATGAAACGGTTCGGTTCTGCGGTTTTCGGATACCCTCAAGATCGAGGTGTCTAGAATCCCTGGGGTTCCCGTTGAAGGTTCTAAAATCATCACCACTATGATTTTAGAACTTTAAAAGGCTATCAAATTAGAACTTTTGAAAGTTTGGATATATGAGCCTTGTTGTGGTATGAGTTGATTCTAACAGACCACAAGAAAGGTCATTGTTTTGGAGTGCAGAAAAAGGAACCAAGTCGTGATGAGGTCTCTGCACGTGATCCACATGACATTGGAAGTGACCCTTCGGCCTTGGTGGTGACCCCCGTCCTGCTGATACTAACCCTGCCTTGGTGGTCACCCGCCTGGATGGTAAACTTGGTGACCTGCCTTTGGTGGTGACCCCCCGCCTTTGCCTCCCCCACCTTGGTGGTGACCCGTTTTTGGTGACCCTGCCTTGGTGGCCTCTGCCTGCAAACGAAGTGTCATTGGAAATATGTTTCGTTGGCAATCCGTTTTGGCCGATGAGAGTACGAATTTGGATGAGAGCACATGGCGAGCTTGGAGAGTGTGCTTGAGGTTTTTGGTCCGCATGCTAGTCACATGATTTGCAGACTAAAGCACGCAGCACCAGCAAAAAGGTTTCTGCAGTGGACGCATAGCAGAGAAGCTTCAGACCCTGTTTGACTTCCAGCCTTCGATGCCCCAATTAGCAATATTTGAGCTATTTTGAACTTGAAGCTTGACGCCGCATGGCAGTTGCTATGGCTGCCAAAGGAGCTTGTCGTAAAGCTGTGCACCTTTTACTTCAAAAGATGCCTTGCGTGAAGGAGTCTTAAGATGCAAGATGAGCAAGATGTGCAACAGGGCTGTTTGACTCTGGTTATGGGCTTGAATTGCTTGGCTTGCAGAGCTGCCCAAAGAGGTTTGATCATTGACACATATTGGGCGCATATATTATGCTTTGTAATCCCTCCTTTTAGGCCGAAATGTGCATTCAGTGATTCGTGCAAATGGTGACCCAGATGGTTGGAAAATTTGGCAATGGTTATTGTGTGAAATATTGTGAAACCCTGCTCCACATCAGTGGCATTGTGAGGAGCTTCAGCTAACGTCCTCGCCTCATCAGTTTTTTCTTCAGCATGTGGCATGTGTAGGACAATGTAGAACGATGTATAACTCATGCACGCGCTAGAACGCCCAGCTTGACAGACAGAGGCAGATTGCAGAGGCAGAGAGAGAGAGAGAGAGACAAACATGCGCGCACACACACACACAGAAACACATTGTGCACACCACATAACCCCCCTGGTCAGTTCATTTATTTTTCAAAAGGTAATCAAAAGTAAGTAATTCTTAGTATTCTTCACGGGGTTCCCCTGCAGGTCGTTTGAGTAGTCACAGGCATGTTCTGCAGGTTGTGGTTGCAGATTGGACGGATGGGAGAAGCGTCGTGCTTGTGTTCTCCGGGGTCACCTGGCGCATGCTTTTGAACAAGGTTGCAAGACGGCGTTGGCTTTTCCAAGAGTTTCCAACAATTTTAGACTGGCGCCGTTCCAGAATCCGTTTTGGCCAGATGGCGGCATTCGTAAACTAGCTAGAAGCCAAGGCAAAAGATGCCGGAACGGCAAAAAAACTACCACAAGCAGATAGAAACGCACAACCTCTCCATGATCCGATGCCATCCTGCACAACATTGTTCCTTGCGGGGATTGAGCCCTCGACTGTGGGGCTGAATGGGGTAATAGGGGTTCCGTGTGCTGAATGGGGTAATGGGGTAATAAACATTTGCTTCCAGAGGGGCTCTTCAAGTGCTTCGTGGAATGCGCAGGTTCCTTGTCACGCCCTTTGTCGCGGAGAGCTGCAACCAACATTTTTTGACAACTTGCCCCGGGCCCCGAATTAGTGAGTGACTAGCGTCCAAATACCACTAGTCACTAGTCACGTGTCGAATGGAATTCAAAGGGGATTTCAAATGGAAACGGCAAGGCTTGTGTGGAAGACTCTCAAGCAGACGTAAACATACCATATTCCAGTCGCTCCACGATGAGCACGGCCCGCACCCCGATTGTATGAAAGGTTACCAGCTGGAAGCAGGAAGGGAAATTGCGAAGGTCGGGGGAGGACTTTTCGAAGTTGAGGAGTATGGTATAGCAGGGGATGCGGGGTGAACACGGGCCTACTTGGCCCAACCTAAGCCTACTTGAGCAAAACTCAGCCGCGCGCGGCCTTCAATTGAGCGGAACGTGTACGTACTGAAGGTGCCAGAGGGTGGTACCAGTAGTTAGCGTCGAGCAAAAAGCGAATTAATGGTGCAGCCTCATCTGGGGCAAGGAGCTTTTTTCGAATCTTTTAGACATGTACAGACCGGTGTATGTTTTGCATTTTTGGTATCGGCGTTTGTTGTAATAGTTTGTAATGCATTTTACATTTTGAACCATTCTGATCTTTGTTTTTTTCTGCTACATAGCACGCTCCCATGTATGTACAGTATCTTATACTCGACCAGGATGCCAGGTTTGCAGCATCGCTTTTGCAAGAGTCTCTCCGTGGAGTATGAGTTTCCTTTGCTTTCACTTTCTCTTGCGCTCTATTGCTGGTGGGAAAACAGAAAAAATCATACAATGGCACGGTACAAATGTGCCTTCAACATGTCCCTGCTTGCAGCTTACATAAAAAAGAAGGAAAACAATGGAAACAGACCATCAGAATTATTACAAAAAAAATAAAACATAGATTTAAACAATGTACCCCCAACCTCAATGCGACCTAGCTGATTGTGCTTATGCAGTAATAATCAGTAATATAGCCAAAGACAAACCCGTACCTGGCAGGTGTGAATGTATGTATGTGTGTATGTGTGTATGTTTGTTTTTTTGTTTGTTTGTTTGTATGTATGTATGTATGTTTGTATGTTTGTTTGTTTGTTTGTTTGTAAGTAAGAAAGTAAGTAAGTAAGTAGGTAAGTAAGTAAGTAAGGTATGTATGGTAGGGTATGGTAGGATATGGTATGGTGTGGTGTGGTATGGTATGTATGCTATGTATGGTATGTATGGTTTATATGGCATGTATGGTATGTATGGTATGTAAGGTATGTAGTGCATGGTAATGTAACGTAATGTAATGCAAGGTAAGGTAAGGTAAGGTAATGTTTGGTAATCTAATAAAATGTTTGGTAATTTAATGTAATGTAACTAATGTATTGTGTTGCGATGTATGTAATGCAATGTAATGTAATGTAATGCAATGTAATGTAATGTAACGTAATGTAATGCAATGTATATATGTATGTATCTATGTATGTATGTAATGTGTGTATGAATGTATGTATGTATGAATGTATGTAAGTATATATGTATGTATGAATGTATGTAATGTATGTAATGTATGTAATGTATGTAATGTATGTAATGTATGTAATGTATGTAATGTATGGTATGTATGGTATGTATGGTATGTGTGGTATGTATGGTATGTATGGTATGTATGATATGTATGGTATGTATGGTATGTATAGTATGTATGGTATGTATGGTATGTATGGTATGTATGGTATGTATCGTATGTATGGTATGCATGCATGTATGTATGCATGCATGTATCTATGTATGTGTGTATGTATGTATGTGTTTTTGATTGCATGTATGTATGTATGTAATGAAATGTAATGTAATGTAATGTGATGTAATGTAATGTAATGTATGTAATGTATGTAATCTATTGCAAGGTATGTAAGGTATGTAATGTATGTAATGTATGTAGTGTATGTAATGTATGTAATGTATGCCATGTATGCAATGAATGTAATGTAGGTATGTAATGAAATGTAATGAAATGTGATGTAATGTAATGTAATGTATGTAGTGTATGTAGTGTATGTAGTTTATGTCATGCATGTCATGTATGTCATGCATGTCATGTATGCCATGTATGTCATGTATGTCATGTATGTCATGTATGCAATATATGTAATGTATGTAATGTTTGTAATGTATGTAATGTATGTAATGTATGTAAGGTATGTAATGTGATGTAATGTATGTAATGTATGTAATGTATGTAATGTATGTAATGTATGCAATGTATGCAATGAATGTAATGTAGGTATGTAATGAAATGTCATGGAATGTAATGAAATGTGATGTAATGTAATGTAATGTAGTAAGGTATGTAAGGTATGTAAGGTATGTAATGTACGCAATGTACGTAATTTATGTAATGTATGTAATGTTTGTAATGTATGTGATGTCTGTAGTGTCTGTAATGTATGTAATGTAT